GAGGGTGCCAGAAGTTATCCGTGTTTGGGTGGAGCAGATGTCAGAATTTTATTAGTAGTCTGTGGAGACACATGTTCTCCGATGGTGTTAGCAAAACGCAAGCACTGTAGTTGTAGAGGGAAGAGGCTGAGTCTGTGACAAAGAAAAGAATAAGCAGAAATCTAACCAAAGGTAAGCCCCAGGGTTCAGGCAACAAAAGGAAACCACAACCTTTCTGTTTTCAGAAGGGACAGCTGTGGTTGTCACACTTCCTATTTTATGACAGAATCAATTACAGACTTCTATAGTCAGGAAATGTAGACATTGAGTGATTTCCCTAGTAGACAGACCACTCAAAGTTTCCCCAAGATGGGGAGGTCCTTCTGTACAAGTTCTAAAAAACGCCCAGTGGGCTGGGGTGGGAGCGGGTGGGAGTATGTAGGAAATATATGGACTTTGGTTTAAATTTATTACTAGGGGGAGGTGGCTTGCTGGATCCTTAGAAGCGTAGATAAATGTGACCTTACTGGGGAGCAGTGGTGTGGTTTTTTTTTAAAGCAATGGAAATCTAATGGGCGATTGGATTAGAGTATTGACTTTGCTTCCAACATGCTATGAATCTGTAAGATTTCTTACCCTTTCTGTGCCTTAATTTCCTTTTCTATAAAAATGAAGCAGTAATACTCCTCTCACAAAATTCTTGTATATATTAAATAAGGTCCCCACTATGTATCTCAATGGTGGCAAACAATAGGGGAAGCTCTTTGTGGGAGATTTGAAGTTGCGATCTTTAGCTAAGAAGTAGCTCTTCAATTTGCCTTTTCACTCTCTTGATAGTGTCCTATGGGGCACAAAAGATTTTAATTTTTATAAAGTCCAGTTTAGTTTTCCTTTTGTTACCTGTGCTTTTGGTGTCATATCCATTAAATCATTGCCAAATCCAATGTCATGAAGCTTTTCCCTATGTTTTCTTCTAAGAATGTTATAGTTTTAGCTCTTAGGTCTAGATCTTTGATCCATTTTGAGTTAATTTTTGTGTCTAGTGTAAGTAAAGATCCAAATTCATCTTTTGCATTTGGGTATCCAGTTTCTCTGGGTGCTGGGTGTTCAAACACTTAGGATTGAAAACAATGTCCTATCTAATTTTTTTCTCTTCTTTAATCTAATTATAAAGTATGTATCTAGGTTATAGAAGCAACAGACCATAACAATCAAAGTA